TATTTAAATGAATGCATACAAATGGCTCCAAAGTCTACACAGAATGTGTCTGACAAAGCACAGATTGCTTTATGTATGCAAAACTGTTAAAAGATTTCTAGTTATGATTTATAATAAATCTACATACTGGATTTTCTAATCTCTAGCTTTATGTACTGGAGATGCAACAAGTAACAAAATGAAAGGGGATTCCCGATTTGCTGAATACAACCCAAGGTTAATATAATACCTTAAAATTAGTTAAATATAGTTGTATTGTTCAAAATCTCACCGCTGTAGAAAGCCATGAGATCCAAGGTAAGCTCATTCCTAAATGGTAAAATTCAAGAGCTTAAGTTTTAGAACAGATTTAAATCCAAAACTTGACAGTGGGACAGGCAAACCACCATCCTAGGATCACTTTTTAAAAACAGAATGGAGGGGGAAAAACAGAACCTCATCTCTCATATGACTAGATCTAGTCTAAATTTGACTAGCTTTTTTTCAAGGGGGGAAAAAAAAATGGAACCCCTTTTTGCATGAGTATACAAGAAAGTATGATATGGGTGATGCATATGGGAAAGGACAGAAATGACCAACTGCCTGTTTCTTGCCCTTTCAGGCTTTGTGTTTGCTCCTGCTCACAGCCTGAAATAGTCTATTGCCTATACAGGGAAATGTTGGCGTGGGCAGAGGACAGACTTGCTGGAAGACTTTAAAGGAAAAGGAAGGTCCAACATATGAGACACTGGGGGAGGATGATGAGGGGAGGGGGCAAATGAAGAATAAGAGGCTGCTTTCATGCCATTCGAATCTAAATGTTCACCAGCTTGTGCAGACTATCGAAAAGTCCTAAGCAGAAGTAGTATCATTTTTTTCAGAACACCTTTTAAGGGCTATCATGGAGCTTGCTTTGAAATTGTGTTGTGTTTCAGTGGTTTTTTTGGTAATATTATTCTAATTTCATATCCATGTGCTCTCATGCATTTTGATTCCTTGTTGCTTCAAGTGAATTAGAAGATGCTCTTGTAGAAAGCAAGGGAGGGGTGGGGAAGAGCCAAACATAAGGGCAAATTCAACGCAGAGATTAGAGAAGCCTAAAGGAAGCTGTATCAGATCCTGTTAAACAAGAAAACAAAAAGCCACACAAACTTCAGCAGAAAAAAAAATGACGCTAAGAGTGCTTCATAGGCTCTGCAGATGCCTAGATAGCAGGTCTGCCTTTAAATTATGTAATCATTGTTCACTCATAGTCTGTTCGTAGTCTGAGCAAAGCCTAAATTGCTCCACTTGGTAAAGGGCAAACAAATAAAAATTAGGGGAAAAAAAAAATCTCTTTTTGGCCACTGGCAAGCATATTTGATTTTGTAGAGAAGGGGCAGCTATAAATGGTGAATCTAGATGTGTTACACCTGCCAGGAAATGCTGGAGCAAGGGCTAAGTCCAGGTGCTCTTGGCTTAAGCAAAGATGAAGCAGCTTTACATTTCTGTACTAAATGGTGGGTTTGGGGATTGGGGTTTTTTCTGGTATGTTTTTAAGAAAGTCTGAACATTGGCTAAAGAGACACTGAGATTAGCTTTTGAGAGTCTTGCTTAAAGGAGCGTATGCCATTTAGAAACATTTCCTTCGCAGAAACAGCAATAGGCACTCTGCAAACTACATTCGGAAGGTAGCAATGTTCCATGCTTTAACAAAATAACTATTTACATATACATGTTATCCTAACTATTTGCCCCTTTTGTTCTACTATGCACAAAAACTATTAATGAATTCTACAGATGGCATCCACGCCGGTGAGGAACTGTCTGTGTGACTTTACAGCTTAGGAGTAGCTTTCAGGACTGTGGGAACTGTCTTAAATGCATGGCTGAGACAGTATGTGTTGAAAAATGAGACTTATCACAGCCAAGGACAATTAAGATAGCTGCTGAATACTACTTAATACAAATAGGTGATATTTCTTGCACTGAGTAATGATGCAAGTTTACACTGAGTTAAAGATTTATAAACCACAAGCCTAAAAAACCCAAACACCCTCCAACAATTCAGTTACTTCATATGCGCTAGCTAGCATCAGGCAACTTTATAACCCAAAGCTAACCATCTGGTTGGCAAATAATAATTCTGATTAATTCATAGTGCTCTTCTTCCAGAGTGTGCGTGTGTATTTTATTTTTGGGGGGGTGGGGGTGGGGGAGGGCAAAAAGTTATTCTAGTCCCTTGCTTATACTGTTTTATAACACTTTACAGGCTTACTGAACACAAATGTTAAGTCAGAATTTGCACATTCTCCTCCCCTTTTAAAAATACCATTTATAAAATTATTTTTGGCAGCTTCAGTTTCTAAAAAGGACTGATCTGAATACTAGACTGACACCTTTTTGGTTATTAAAGAAAGCTAAACCATACTCTGGCAGGCTAAACAGCTTAATAATTCCAGGACTAAAATTTTGTTATGAGATAGCACTTTGGTATTATGGTCAAATTTTGCTCAAAGATTTTATTTTCTTGGGAAAGAGAATGTCTACTAAGCTGATTTTGAAACAGTGCACCTTAAAGTTTTGATGCTATCAGGATTTCTTGTTTTTTAACTACTAACTTAAATATTTAAGGTCAGTAATTGGGACATGATTTATAAAATTTTTAATTGGCTTTGGCTCGGTATTATTTTGAGAGAGGACCCATTTCCCTAATTAAAAAACTACTTTGCAACTAATATAGCTTTCACGCTTTGACATATTAGCTGGGAGAACATACTGTATCAATATGCATTTACGCATGCAATTATATTTGGATGTTTTGATTTTTTTTCATTTTATTTTGCAATTTGTGTCTAGTTCTATTTGTATGGAAACTGAAATTCAATTATATACAAAAGCTATTTTTCAAATTATTTTTTAAACCACAGCAAATGCTAGATACGCAAGAGAAACGTATTCCTTTCTAACCATGTTTTGTATTAAGCCAAGGAAATATTTATTCCCAGTGGGAGAATTGAACAGCTTGTTTCTGGTCACCATGCCCTTCAAGATTTTAGGAACAGTAGATTTCAGCCTGGACACCTAATTTGGATTTGTGGATTGGAAAAGCAGAAACAAGTTTCCTGCTTCTCGGATTCCAAGTTTTGAATGAATCAGTCATTGAATGATGGCAATATTAAATTGTAATTGAGATAATCTCTGTGCCTGCAAATGTATAGTTGCTTTCCAAGTGCTTGTTTTATTGTTATCAGACTTTCTTTAAACTTCCTTAGCAAGAGTTATTTAGAAGAATTCATTTTGGACAATTATACTTCACTAAATTATTGATTATACTTCACTAAACTATTAGCCAGTGGCCACTCCTTAAGTTTTCCAGTGCGGCTGTTGCAGCTTTTCCTGTGATTTGAGGCATCACGTATGTCTTTGTTAGCACGGAAACAGCTTAGTAATTTCATTACATTAAGCAATGAAAACGGTTTCTAAAACCAACTAATATCTGATATAAAAAAAAAAAAAGTTGACTTTCCTTACACTGTGCATTCATGTTAACTTCTGAACAAACTGCTGAACTACGCATAAATGCTGAACACTTTTGCTTACATTACAAAAGTTCTGCTGCAGCACTTAGTTGTATTTACTTATTTCTATGACTTGTTTGTGTATGGAGGGAAACAGGATGAAAAAGATAGGGTCTAACAGAACTCTTTTTTGGAACACTAGATTTCTTTCTCACTCCTGTAGGTGGAAGTGGAAAATCTTTTTGTTGTTGTCGTTAAACGGTTTCATAAAGCTTTCTCTTCTCCTCTCATCCCCAGCCCCTTGATGGAATCAGTCTCTTTCTTCCTTCCAGGTTAAGCAATGTTGGTTGTATAGAATGTTTCTAAAAACAGAATACTTAACTAGGCTGGCCATTTCATCGGAAAAACAATCATATTATCATTTTTTCCCATTTTC